CGCAGTGTGTGGGCGGTGCCGTTGCAGGGCCGGGTGCTGCACCCCGAGCAGCACCGCGTGGTCAGCGTGCGCGAGTGCGCCCGATCCCAGGGCTTCCCCGACACCTTCCGGCTCTTCGGCAACATCCTGGACAAGCACAGACAGGTGGGGGGGCCAGGTGTCCCCAGTGTCCCCAGTGTCCCCACTGTCCCCATTGTCCCACTGTCCTGTGTCCCATTGTCCCACTGTCCCCATTGTCCCACTGTCCCCATTGTCCCACTGTCCTGTGTCCCATTGGCCCACTGTCCGCATGGTCCCTTTATCCTGTGTCCCATTGTCCCACTGTCCCCATTGTCCCCATTGTCCCCATTGTCCCTTTGTCCCCATTGTCCCTTTGTCCCTTTATCTCACTGTCCCCATTGTCCCACTGTCCTGTGTCCCCATTGTCCCACTGTCCTGTGTCCCATTGTCCCACTGTCCCCATTGTCCCACTGTCCCCATTGTCCCTTTGTCTCATTTTCCTCATTATCCCTTTGTCCCACTGTCCCCATGTTCCCTTTATCCTGTGTCCCATTGTCCCACTGTCCCCACTGTCCCCATTGTCCCCATTGTCCCTTTGTCCCTTTATCCCACTGTCCCTATTGTCCCACTGTCCTCTGTCCCACTGTCCCCACTGTCCCCATGGTCCTTTTGTCCTTTTGTCCCTTTGTCCCTGTGTCCTGTGTCCCATTGTCCCCATGGTCCAATATCCATTGTCCTATTTCCCAGTGTCCAATGTCCTCTTGTCCTGATGTCCATTGTCCCTTTGTCCCGTGTCCATTGTCTTCTTGTCCCTCTGTCCCTCTGCCCCATGTCCTGGTGTCCATTGTCTCCTATCCCTCTGTCCCATTGTCTCTCTGTCCCCTGTCCCTCTGTCCCATGTCGTGGTGCCCATTGTCCCTCTGTCCCTCTGTCCCCAGGTGGGTAACGCGGTGCCACCTCCCCTGGCCAAGGCCATCGGGCTGGAGATCAAGGCCTGCGCTGTGGCCAAACTGCGCCAGGACACGGCCGGTGAGTGACCCGCGGTGTCCCCGTGGTGTCCCCGCGGTGTCCCCGCGGTGTCCCCGCGGTGTCCCCGTGGTGTCCCCGTGGTGTCCCCGCGGTGCCCCCGCGGTGTCCCCCTGGTGTCCCCCTGGTGTCCCCGCGGTGTCCCCGCGGTGTCCCCGAGGTGTCCCCGCGGTGTCCCCGTGGTGTCCCCGCGGTGTCCCCGCAGAGTCACCGCAGCCCCATTGTCCCCCAGGGCCCCGCGTGGCGCCGCAGGAGCCGATGGAAGCGGCCGGCTGAGCCATGGACGCCGGACATGGAGACACCGGGGGGGATGGAGGGGGCGGCCTGGCTGATTTGGGGATGATTTTGGCTTTTTTGCTTTGCTTTGGCATTTTTAAATTTTTTTTCCCTTTTTTTTTTTTTCTATTTTTTCTCTTTTTTTCCCCCCCGTTTTTTAATTTTTAGCCCCTTCTTTTCCCCTTGGGTTTTTAAAACTTTTTTCCTGCCTTTTTTTTTTTTTCCGGGTTTTTTTTCCTGTTTTCCTTTTGTTTATTTTTAAATTTTTTTTAAATTCCCCTCCCTCCACGCTCTCTGTGCTGCTCCAACCTCCCCTCAACCCCCTCAGGGCCCGGGCCCCGCTCCCCCGTTTTTATCGCATTGTACCGAACCCCCCGCGGCCGCTTTGTACAAGGTGGAACTCGATACTTTATGTAGTTTTTATATGTTGTAATATTTCTTCGAATAAATCGCGCCTATAAATTATAAACAATTCTCTCCCGCCGCGCTACGAGTAGGCCGCAGGCCTCATAGAGCCGTTGCTTAGCAACCGCTTCCCGCCATGCCCCGCGCGCGGCGCTTTCCCGCCTCCCTCCGCCGGAAGTGACGTACGCCGGCCGGAAGTGGCTGCCGGCCTTTCCGGTGTGGCGGCGTGAGGGTGGTGGAGGCGATGCCGACCGGGGATTACGAGTGAGGGCGGGGGAGACGGCGGGAACGACGCCGGGAAGGGCGCCGGGAACCGGGATTGGGGTTGGGAACCGGGATTGGGGTTGGGAACCGGGATTGGCGGCGGGAATGGGGTTGGGGGTGGATCGGGAGCGGCGGGGGGACGTAACGGGGGCAGCGGGCCTGTGGCTGTGAGGGGGTACCGGGAACGGGAACGGGAGCTGGGACTGGGAACGGGAACCGAAATCGGGAGCTGGGACCGGGAACTGGGATCACGAGTGGGATCCGAGAGCGAGGCCACGGCGGGGCCTGGCGGGGCCTGGTCGGGCAGGGAGTCCCCCCGGTTGTGGGGCCTGGTCGGTGCCGATCCGGTGTCCCAAGGGTCCCGGTCGGTCCCGATCCGGTGCCCCGGGGTTCCCGGGGGGCTTCAGGCCGGGCTGTGGCCGTGAGGGGAAGGGGGCGGCG